ATATATCTATCTATCTATCTATCTATCTATCAGTCAATCAATCAATCTATCTATCTATCTATCTATCTATTTATTATCAATATATATATATATATATATATATATATATATATATGTGTGTGTGTGTGTGTTTGTGTGTATTTACATGGTTGATAGTCCTGACGCATTCAAGTGAAATATAAACACAATGAGTTATTGCAATGAATTTCACACTTACCAGTTTTGGATTCTTTGATCTTCTTGATGCGTTTTTGCTCAGACCCATCGGATGAGCGCTTTCCTGCGCGCAAGTGCATGCAAGAACAATCGACCAGAAGTTTGATATAATCCCATTCCTTTTTAGGTTCGTACTAAGTGTTTCTGTGTGAATGTGTACTACATTATACAATCTCACATATCAGACCATTGCACATACATATGCATTTATGTATGTATCATTCATGTGATCAGCTTACACCAATGAATCACATGTCAGAGAAATTACGTTGCAACACATCAAACCGTTTCATTTAGCGTACTCGAAAGATATCACCCTATCTCGGAATACGTACAATTGAACTTGAGGCTGGCTCCGAACGTGTACTGGACATAATAAAATTGGTTAGAACGGGTCAGGGAGCAATTGAACCCATCTTAGGACATGTACTGGATGAACTAAATCTCTCTCAGGGTAAGTACTGATGTAATCGAATTCATTTTTGAATACGTACCGAATGTATTGAATCTCTCTCAGTGTAAGTACTGGTGAAATTAAATTCGTCTCAGAAAACCTACTGGATGTACTGAATCTCTCTCAGGAGAAGTGCTAAAAAAAAATTGACCAGAATAAACAAGGAACAAGTCAGAGCCACTTCGAAGTACGTCATGAACTTCATACACCTACAAACCCTACCACACGCCCATAAACCCTACCCCTGCATAACACATACTTGACATATTGGTTGCCGCAGGAGTGCTGACTACTGCCGCGCTCTCGGAGATGGCGGCTGAGGCCATCTCCTTCTGAGCAATGCGGTCCTTTTCTCGTTTAAGTTTGACCTGAATGCGTTTCATCTCGGGTACCACAAATTCCTCCTCTAATACTTCATACTCCGTGCGCTTGAACAACACTTGCAGCTATATATAGAAATGTACAGAAAAGTGTGAGGGATTAAGGAGCACAGTGTTATCTTTTTGTGCGTGTATGTGTATATTTACTGTTACGCTTGTCCTGGCATATTGCATGTCTGACGTGATCAATGCATATGTATTCCAGATACCATCAAATACGCCTAGAGAAGGATTGCGTTCTGGACATAGTTACTTATATCTGCATGTATGTATATGTCAATCATGTACATCTATCAAGGAATGTGCACTCCAAAATACTGAGTTTAAATACTGCCAACGCCTCGCCGTTATGTACATGTGATAAGGCAAGTGACACGCAGTACTCACCTGGCTCTTGCGTTCTAGCTCATACTTGGCGTTGTATGGTAGGGATCCCACCGCCGCTTCGATGTCTTTCTCTGCTCGTGCAGCAGCCAACACAGCACAAATCCTGCCAAGCAACCACACAAGGATAGACGTTACTGGGGGTACCTACCAATATAAACCCACGTTGCTTTGTGATCTGATGACTCACCGTAAAGGTCAGGCAAATACATAATGACGCCCTAGTTTGATATACCACTGGCTTAACCCGTACTATACAGGGTTAGAATAGGGATGAAGTGGTATAGGGGTAGAGTGTGCAGGTAATGGAGAAGAGTACCAGGGCTTAATAGAAAGGTCAGAATATATGGCTTAGCGTGTGAAACAAAAAAAAAACGTCAGCAATAAGGAACAACACTATTTGATCATACACCCATATATCCATATATATATGTATAATATATATATATATATATATATA